ATGCTATTTTATTACTAACGAATTAACCTTAAGTGTGTTGATGCACTCCGTTCGGACCCGCCTGAACTCAGCATAGCGACACACAGGCAGGCCTGCGGCCGGGGTGGCTCCGGTGTCGATGGTGTGCGTGTACGTGTGTGTATTCAACTTGAGAGGAGGCAGTGACGATAGCGTGCTTTGTGCTATTTGAGCCCGAAGTTCGGAGTTGTCGCGGCGAAGCTGATTGATGGCTTCGACCAAACTGTCTATCACACCCTCGTCCAGTTGTGGCGCCGCAGCCAATCTATGGTAACAGGGATCAGGGATTTAGGATTAGGGTTTTAGGGTTTAAGGGTTAAACGATATTGAGGATGTCCGGGACGCGTAGGGTCTACTATTCTAACAAGTATGGGGATGGCGTGATAGAGAGAAAGTGTTAAGAATTGTATAAGGAGTGTGTATACGTCTGTCGAAAGGAATATATTCAACCTCTACTATCAAGAGTACTCGCAAAAACACTAACGAAACTAAGCACGCCCGCGAGAAAATGATTATAGCTTCGTAACAATTATATATATACATTAAAATACGCAATACAAGCATAAGAAAATCCAACTTCACAAGCATGGAAACTGCGCACACACCGGTGAGAAGGCTCTTGCGCTACAGCGAGCAGTTTGACAGGTGAGCTTTTGGCGGGCGATCGCATCTCCAGATTCCGTATGGCGGGTGAATTGTTGGCGCTGCCTCGGGACTTCTCCACTGTGGCCAGAGGAATAGGGGTGTCTCAGTGCATACGTAGTCAGCAGTATGTCTGAATATACACCTACACATGTGTGTATCTATATATACATACGCATACGTACATACACACTTACAATGGTGCCGATATAGTATTACTTGCGCCTGTAGATATGTATGCCAGAGCTCCTGCTCCTGTGGTTGGGGATGTCGGAGCATCCCCTATCCGTTTCTGACATGCATTCTACCTTTTAATGATTTGACATGCCGAATGCCTCGTATTTTTTCTGGTACTCCCCTGGCAATAGGTACCAATCTCAGCAGCCACTGAATGAATACCCACCCCACCCCCTCTACCCCTTGCGGATAAGCACAGCGTTACTATACATACTATACATACGTAAAAATATATTGTCTTATCCGTAGACCCTACACAGTACAGTATTCAACAATCAGACTCAAGCACATACTCGCTCTGTTCTGCTTCTTCAATTCGCGATTCAGTTTCTCGACCTTTTTGAGTTCGTCCTGTAGCACAGCCACACTCTCCTGCAGCGCTGCATACTCAGCGTTGTTGTGAGCAGTCCCCAGTACACGTTGTTGTTCATCCTGCGTAGTTATACGGAGGTATTATTGGACTATGTCAGATGCGAGTCAGTAGATATACTTTATGCGTTAGTGAACAGTGTGTGCGAATTTACACATGTATATATATATACATACATACATACATACATACATACATATAT